ACATCTCGACAAGTCGCATTGTTAAAAGTTAGTGAATCGCACTACTGAACGATCAGTTGCATATGCAGAAGCGTTATATTGTAGTGATCCTATCTGGTACGTTCCGACAATTAATGGACTAGTTTGTGTCTAAACAAAGAGAGAGAGAGAGAGAAAGAGAGAGTGAGAGCGACAGATAGCGGTCATGGCTAAATCGACTCCGCTCGTCACATTATACCGGCTTTTATATCTGTGGATTTTTGACTAAAAAATTTAAATCTGTCTCACGGACAAAGAAAATAGCATATGTCGGCAAAGCTCTTTTTTACCGCCAGAGCAATCAACTTTATTTAAATTAAAGCATGCAGTTTTGCAAACAGACATTTTTACAGGTTGTGAATAGCGATTAAATAATTTAACATTTCTTTCCGTCGAATTGCAACATTTTTCTCTTTGATGGTAAAATATGTTTTGTCGACATATGCTATTTTGTATGTCAGTGACAGACTTAAGTTGTTTTGACAAATGCCCACAGATATAAATATTTTCGAGTTTGGGTTTATAAAGATTTACGTTAAAGAAAATATTCAAAAATTTGTATAATTTTTCGACAATATTTTTCATTAAAAACGACCTCAAGCTAAATAAAAATTGTTTAACAAATTGTTATTAGGCCGGAAAATAACAAATAACTTAAGGAAATACATTTAACGTTCAAACATTTTAGACGTACCCAGAATGTAGCATATTTTTTGGAGCAGAACAAATTCATATACATACAATTTGTCATGCAAATCCCTTAGTGCGGTATTTCTTAACAGACACCTAGTGCCTATCGACTAACACATAGTTTTTTTAAGCAGAATAAAAACTCGCTCCGTTCGTCACTGCCTTAGTAAAAGAAGACAGTATTTAGATGCTCCTAGGTCCATTTCAAATTATCGATGACTTACTTGAGCTTACCACAAGACCGATATTCAGCAAAAAAACGACGCAGTGAGACATCTTTTTTAAAAGCCGAAGCTGTTTATTTTACAACACTGACCTCTTAAATATTACCTATACTAAGTTTCCCACAAAATAATATTTTCTACTAAAAATCAAATTTAGCTTATAAAATATCGCCTCGCGCTTACTTCACACACGACAAGTCATTTACCTTTGACCACCACCCGAAAAAAAACGAAAATGTAAAAAAAAAACCAAAATCGCTCATCACTCTGCGCATTTCCACAAACTTCTTAACAAAAC